GAGGGGGAGGGGAGGGGAGGGGGGGTAGAACCACATATACTGTTAATGGGAAAATTGGATGGTTGGATGCTTATAAAATCTATGAATTCGTAGTCAGTAATATCTCAAAGAGGCGAGTCAATACGCTTTTGAAAGATTTAAACATGAACACTAAGCAGGAAAACAATATCACAATTCAATTTAGTTAAACACAAAGATGAAAACATTTCATTTTCATGTTTTAAGTAGATGTCCTGGTTTAAACAAATAATACTGTTATTTATGTGTCTCAAGCATTATGCCCTAGAATTCATACATCAAAAAGAACACACACGGCTGAGATTGAGTGTACGGCCATCTTAGAAACCAAGTTACTATGTACAAAGCCCAATAAGCTCAATAACGTAAAAAGTTATTTTTTTATTTTTTTAAATTTTAATAAACTCTTCATAAATCTTACTATATTTTGTCAATATTATAAGAAGTTGAACATTTTGAATCCCATAATAGTTGTTTTTTGTTGTCAGTTTTTAATATATATGAAAATATTGTAAACTCAAATTTTCGCATAAACTTGCATTAAGCTGACAACGCTTTATCGGACAGGATCTGGGAGACAGTGTATATGAAGTTGTCAGACAGTGTATATGGTTACAGTCACATTACAACAGGTCCAGGCCTCCTGGTCGACAAAATGTCTCCACCACCTAACCACATACTCGAGACAGACATCCATAACTGTCGTTACATCATAAACATGGGGCTAGATTACAAACCAAACTTAAAACTCCAGTTTACATATCAACAAAGTGATAATGAAACATGAAAAGCGGGGTTTATTTGGTTTACGTCCCAAAACATTGTTCTTCTTCAATCACTTCAAGCACTTAGCTAACCCAGACATTGTTTAATCTTGGTCTATCGCATGCTTTACCTCCCAGGTTGTCAAGTAATGGAAACTGCTGTTTTTAAACATAATATCTTGGCTTATTTATTTTCAAATTACTGACAGATTAAAACAGATCACGACGGGGGACCGGCAATTAATTCTACACCTGTCTCCCACCTGATAATACACATGGCTGGGGTCAAAGGTCAGCAGTTACAGCTTTGTTACATACACACTGGCCATCAGAATTTAACGTCTTTAACCAACATAACTGGTATATAAGTAATTGTGTTCCCTGACAGCTACTGGTGCCATTTTA